TTAGGCTGTGGAAAGAAACCGGGGTCCGTAAATGCAACACATGCACAATTTACATACTCCATGCACATGTCCTTGAGAACCCAAGACCCCAGCACTGCAAGACTAGAGTGCTAAGCACATGGAGAACGTGTGACAACAGCGCATTTATGTGATAATATATAAAATGGCTCAGTCAAAGTATCTTTCCAATGCTGAAAGACAGCTAAGGTTTTATTTTTAGAAATGTTTTTTTAATAAAGAAATAAGCTATGCAAAGGGCAATGTTTAGCAAGAAATCTGACATGTCGTGTTGTTTTAAAAAAAAAAGAGCATAGCATCATTACGTTATGTTGAGCTGCATTAGCGCAACCCAAATGTAAACAGATTGCTCATGCAGAACATTCATGCTCAGGTGACAGAAGGATAAAGCACCCTTATTTGTCTGTTTACACAATGAATTATTTCACATAATAAAGAAGGGAGAATGTGATACCATAGGTTCAGGGTAGAACTAGCCTTTAACCCCTTTTACCTGCTGTTGGTCAGCTCAATATTTGCCTTACAAGTACCCAAGCCAATGTTTCCATGTTTCACATGCACAAGAGTATCATACATTACACTCTTCCTGCATTATTGTGTAAAACTTAAATGATAGGAGGGAAACCAAGAACCTTGTATTGATGGTGAGAGGGGAGCAAAGCAGGGAACATGGGTGCAAAGATCATCAGAGTCTCTAATGAAAGAAACTATCAACATCCAGACAAACAAATATCGGTTTTGGTTAGAATGACCCTTTAATTATGTAAACCTTAAAAGCAAATCTGTGACCAGGTTATGGACATTAAGTAATACTTACATATTCTTAAAAAAAACATTTGGTAAGTCTACAACAGTAAGCCTCATTCACACTTGAGAGTGAAAGTTCTTGGTAATTTTTAATCCTTTAATTTAGCGTTTAAGCATTTTGAGGCGGCTTGAGTGTTTTTGATTACCCGATGGAAAGCTACTTACTAGGAGGAGTGCTCCCATCTAAGTCTATTGGGTCTAAAATGCATTATTCTGCTCAAAACAGAAACTTGTACTTTTTTGAACTTCAGGCGGAGTTCATAAAGGCAGCAACCTGCCTGTCCGGCATTCAGGATGCATACTGGCACCACTTGAATGCAGTTTTTTTTTTTTTTACATAATGGGGATTTTCTTTTGCAATACTGCACCACAACCACATACCCACAAGGTCCCATTCATTGCAATGATCGAATTTGACAAGTGGCACCATCTGCCAAACGCAACATGCTGTATATTTTTGGCTGCACCACAATGTAAAGCATCACAGTCACGGCAATGTATACAGCACTGTAAACGTATAACTTAACCAATAACAAACAGATTGTCATCCGGCAAGCAGACAAAAGGTGGGAGCATAGTCATCCAAAATCGCGATGACTATATCAAAGAGGCACTACGGCTTCTGTCAGACACCAACACCTACCAGAAATTAGACTCAGACCCCTCTCCCCAATTCCTCTCCTCCCTCAAAACCCTCACTGATAAAGCCTTTGAAGGCAAAATCATCACCAAAAAAGAAAAATCGTTTCTGTGCCCCTCACAACCCAACACCCCCTTTTTTTACCACCTGCCAAAGATCCACAAAAACTGCAGCACACCGCCGGGCCGCCCCATAATCTCCAGCATCGAAAGCCTCACCAGTGGCCTTTCCCGCTACGTGGACCACTTTCTACAACCCATTGTTACCACACTACCTTCCTACCTCAGAGACTCCAGCCACCTCATTGAGACATTACATCACTACTCATGGGAACCCTCATACCACTGGGTCTCTCTTGATGCGTGTTCACTTTACACATCTATCCCCCAAGATGTAGGCCTACAAGCGTTACAACACTTTCTATCCCAACAACCAGAATTGCATTACAAGCAGGCACAATTCATCCTCAATGCCACCAAATTCACTCTCGATTTTTTCACCTTCCTAGAAAATTTCTACCTCCAGATTCAAGGCACAGCTATGGGAGCAAACTACGCCCCTAGCTATGCCAATCTGACCATGGGCCTGTGGGAGGAATTCCACATTTGGAGAAACAACCCCTTCGCCCGCCATGTCATCTTTTTTGGCCGCTACATAGATGACATCATCTGGGACGGCCCAATCAACACTATTCAGGAATTCGTGGCGTACTGTAACACCAACCCCTCCGGCCCAAGTTTCACCCATGTCACAGACCAGTGCAGTTTAATCTTCCTAGATCTGGAACTTACAAATTCAGATGGCAAAATTATCACCAGAACTCATTTTAAACCTATGGCGGGCAACTCTTACCTTCACTTTAAAAGTTGCCACCACCCTCTCTGGAAGCAAAATGTCCCAAAAGGACAATTTTGGAGAGTAAACACGAACTGCACCAATAAAGAGGACTATGTCAAACAAAGCCGTATCCTAAAAGACAAATTCCTTGAAAAAGGATACCCCAAACACCTCATCACCAAGGCCCGCGACCAATTCCTCACAACAGTCCACAAACCACCCTCTAAAAAACGAGTTAACCCACAGCCCAAAAAAGTAGCTCGCTCCATCACCCCTTTTAATAATAGATAGAAGGCTATCGAAGCCATTCTTCGCAAAAACTGGCATCCGTTACTGTGCGACCCCCAACTAGGACCATTACTCCCACCTAAACCGTCCGTCATCTTCAAAAAAGCCTGCAGCGTCAAGAACATAGTGGCCCCTAGCAAAGTTTCCTCCTTTTTACCAAAACTCAGACAGACACTTTTGTTCAACAACAGAACAGGGGTACATAAATGTAAAAAACGGCTTTGCCTCACATGCCAATTCATCACCCACGGCCAGTCCCACTTCCATGACAGCTTGGGCAATAAATTCACAATCACCCAGTTCATCACCTGTGCCCACGATCACGTCATCTACTGCCTACAATGCCCCTGTAATCTATTCTACATAGGCCGCACCATCCGCCCCCTCCGCAAGCGAATCGGAGAACATAGGAGGTTCATCGAGGATGGCTGTACTGAACACAGCGTCCCTCGCCATTTTCTCCTAAAACACCAAAATAACCCAGCCCACTTGAAAGTATTTGCAATAGAACATATATCGGATAAATTACCACCAGCTGAAAGATTCCACCGCCTGTGCAAACAAGAGACAGACATACTGGATCTTCAAACTAAACACGCTGTCCCCCCATGGTTTGAATGAGGAATTGGAAACAAACACCATTATCTAACCATTTATGACCTTTATTTTAGATGATTTTCTGATGATTTCTCCCTCTTTCCCCTCCCCCACCCCTCCCCCCTCAATAACCAGCCACTTTCCACCACATATCTCATCTACAGCTGCCATCTCACGAGTAGCTAACCAAAAAGCAATTTTCTGGGTCACCTTAATTGACACGGCCTCGTTACATCCGCAAACCACGCCCACCATCTCATTAGTCTTACTTTTGACTCGGGACTCAGCACTAATAGATTCCCGTTTTGGAACACCCATCAATTGCGGATTCCAGCATGCCCACTTGTCCTTAGCCCAACCTCTCAGCTTCGGCTTATTCAGTCTCACCTCATTCCCGGACATTAGCCCCTCCCTCTTACTATCGGCCTCATCACAATCCATCAGCTCCGCCCACACACCGGGGCCCCTCCCCAACCCAACACTCAAAAACTCTGCTTCCCGCCAACGCCGTCTTGATCAGCCCTGACACTTCGGCCTGAAAAAGAAAGTATTGCCTTCGAAACGCGTCGCCAGCAGGAACCCAGGACCCATTGAGTGTTTCTAAGACTCCACCTCTTCATCCGAACCAACATCTCCTGACCTTTGGGCTCCGCCCCCTCCGCCTCTCCACACCGGCGTCGGAATCTGACAGTTTGAAGACACAGACTCGCCAGACCATCAGGAGGCCCCAGCGTGCATCCACCTCCGCCTCCACTCCGGATCCACACTCACCCCCCTTCCAGCAGGCATGTCACAACACAAGGGGCCATCGTAACACGTCGGCAGCTGCACTACCCACCCTCCAGCACCGCGTCTCTCCCCAGCGCCGGACACTGCTGACATCCAGCAGGACTACCACGCCAGCACCCATCCAGAGGATCATCCTGCAGCCTTCTACCCAGGCACTACAGGAGCCTACCTCCGTCTTGAGAGCCAGCCTTCACTTTCCTTGCGGTGAGTTACAGAACCTCTCCTTTCTTTTGCTCACCTTCCTGATCTCACCTCACTATTTTTGTGTTTACATCTGCTCCAGCTGGTTACACCACTCATCCTAAGAGGGACCGTCTCCCGCAACTGCTCCACCCCATCTCACGACCTTCCTAAAAGCGAATGATCAACCTACCATAGGTGAGTACATCACCTATCCCTCTCACCAGGCTTCACCACATTTATTGTGCCAGGTAGTGGCGCTTCCGTTCTCCAATTTTTGTTTTCTTATAGTTAATTTACTGCCTGTTGAGAATATGTAAGCAGTTGAATGTCCATAGACTGACCACAGGTAAACATTAAACAAGACTTCTGAGGTATCACATATACAGGTGAAACTCGAATAATTAGAATATCGTGCAAAGTTCATTTATTTCACTAATGCAACTTATGCGGTGAAACTAATATATGAGAGAGACTCATTACATGCAAAGCAAGATAATTCAAGCCGTGATTTGTCATAATTGTGATGATTATGGCTTACAGCTCATGGAAACCCCAAGAACCCCAAATCCACAACCTCAAAAAAGTAGATTATTACATGCAATCAATAAAACACGGATTGTACATAGAATATCGGACCTCTGAAAAGTACAAGCATGCATATGTACTCAGTACTTGGTTTGGGCCCCTTTTGCAGCACTTACTGCCATTACTTTTGCACGATATTCTAATTATTCGAGTTTCACCTGTACACTAACACAAACAGCATCAGAAATCTCATGCTCAAATAGGTTTATTCACAGCACACCCTGAATTCCCCCGACAGCCACCATATGTTACTCACTGTGCTTATCTTGCATCCGTTTTAGAAAAGTGTGACTTTTCTTTCTTCTAGCTGATCATTTATTATACCTGAAAAACAAAGGATAAGCATGTATGAATATCATAAAGGACACCATTATTCCATACTGCAGACCAAATATTACAGAACATTGGATTCTTTTTTTTTTTTTTTGTTGGCAATTTTTTTAAATATGAAACACTTTTTTAAAAAAAAAAAAAAAAAAAAAACATATATAAATGTTATGCAAAAGCCTGTGCAGCTAGATCTATAGCCAATTGTACCGATCCGCTCAAGGCTTTCACAAGCAGATTATACATGTAGAAGGCTTTTCCCTCTCAACTAACATTCTAGTAGCTATCTGGGCTATATTTAGTTGTTCTACTTTTTCACAGCAGTGGATAGAAAGTCCCTAAATACATATCCAATAATTACACTGGAAATGACAAAAGTGATCTGTCTGATGAAAGCACCATGGTAGACGGTCATTTAAAACAAGGCAGAATAAATGGATCTGCTTGTTTCAATGATCAGATCATCAATTGTAAGGCCTCATTCACACTGCCGCGCATATATGCGCGTATTGTACCATATGCAAATAAATGGCTCCATACACATAGCTGCGCATGGAGCCGTATATTTGCGTAGTGTAAAAATGCGCAAAAACAAAATGGAACCGAGATGCGTCCGGGCAGCGTATTTACGTGTGTTTGCGTGCATATACGGACGTACACGCATACAGTTCATTAACATTTCTATTAAGACTGATGCATTGTGGGATTGCAAATATTGCGCACATATATGCATGTACGAGTATATACGCAAAATACAGTTTTGCTCTTGCGTTGTGTGTGAATGAGGCCTAAATCAACAGAGTACATCTCATCCTTCTGAGAATGTAGCGGTGTAAATGTGAGTTGAGAAATAACAGCTGAGCTCTCTGGGCTTTTGTCTGGTTCCTGCATGAGACATGGACAATGTAAGGTAATAAAAGGACCACGTAACAGCAAGCATGAACATCAAACAGAATGGTTGGAAGAATGCCAATAGTAGCATTTACTATTATACATACAGTATGTGCATTTTGTATAGCTTGTATGATATTTAGGCTTAAAGTGTATTTGAATCCAAAGGCAAAAACGTAATATATTGCAGATTATCAATCATTAGATGATGTTTTTGCATTAGTTTTCTTTTTTTAGGCTTTTTCCCTTTATTTTCACCTGGTGGTCTGGCCAGTAAGTCTGTTATTTTTCAACTTCCTTTAAACAGACAAACTGTCCAGCAAAAGTGTCAGATAGAGGGTTGATAGAAACCATTTAACACCGACAGGGGTGCTTACAAAGGTCAGCTTTTATTAGTTTATGTAAAACCTTTATCCCAAAAGAGAAATATTTAAAAAAAATGGAAGTTCATTTGCTATTGCATCTAACACTACCCTCTCCATATTGTGAAAATGCTGCTGTCCAAGGGTGGTTCCATTGCTCCTCCATAGAGTGGAGCCACATCAAGACAGGAAGTATGTTACTGGCTGGATCTCCAAGTTACATTAAAGGGAAAAAAGTCCTAAAAAAGAAAAAAACTAATGTAACCACCACGTCTAAGGAGTGGTACACTGTAATATATTATTGTTACTTTTGGGTTTAGATACACTTTAATGTACAACTGTTGTGGGATGACAGAAAACAAAGCGATCCCATAGAAGGCACCCTCTGGTGCCATATAGTAGTTCACTTCACGTGATCCACCGCTACAGTCCACAGTGGTGCTATGCAAATATCAACCTTTCCAAATGGATGAACAAGCCCCTGCCACCAAGTGACAGTGCTTATGCCTTGCAATTGGTCGCTCTTACAGCGAATGCTGCAATATGAGAGTCAAGGGGTATATACAAATTTTAAAAGCCTTAGGCAGTATAAAAATCTTGTACTGGAAGCTGGCAACACACAAGACAATGTGTGTGTTTCAATGTGTGCCGGTAGAAGTGTTAGTAATATAAAAATAAGAGCATTTACTATGCCTGGGACAATTAACACTTTATTTGGCACATATCTTTCACACAACTGAATCAGACCTATTTATGAAACCAAATGTCTTCTTTTTCCCTACAAGTGTTACTTGTTTTACATTTAACAGTTGAAGAAATTAGCGTGGTTTATCCGCCTCTACACTGCTCACGCTGACTAAAAATGTGAAAAAGAAGCAACATTTATACATATCAGATTTTACAAATAGAAAAACAGTAATACAAGTTGAACTACAAGGCCTCTAGAAAATGACTTGCAAGATAATCAAAAATACTATATTCTTATATGGTCAGGGACCCTACACACCACCTGTCTGTGTTTTAGCCTATGCTGAAGAGCAGTGGAGGCACACTGCAGATACATTGGCTTATTAGAGGCAACAGAAGTACTCAAACAAGTCAGATTTCTCTAGTGAAGACACTAGAGATTCACAGACACTAGATCAGGGGTAGCCAAACTCCAGCCCTCCAGCTGTGGTGAAACTACAAATCCCATGATGCATCTCTCTCTCCGGGAGTCATGCCTGTGGCTGTGAGAATCTTGCAATGCCTCATGGGATTTGAAGTTGCACCACAGCTGGAGCGTCAGAGTTTGGCTACCCCTGCACTAGATGATTGCTCAATCTACGCAGATTGGGGGACATCTGTCTATAGGCACCTTTACAAAAAAAAAAAAAGTCAGAAGGTACAAAAAGGCAATACATATCAGACATTAAATTAGAACCACCACAGTCCCCTATTATCTGTTAATATCATAGTATACCCATAATAAAATGCCAGAAAAACTACAACCTTCTCTAAGAAAAATGTAATTATTTTACAGCGGTACAAGCAAAAGTGTGCCTGTCCGTTAAATTAGATGAATGAAGGTGTGATGGTAAGGTGAGGCTGGTGTGACCTCTGCAAGTGCAAGTTGCTGAAGTGAGTGAGTGCAGAAAAGCGTGTATTGGCTGTGTAGGCGAGTTGAAAAGTGTGTGTAGCTGCAGTGTTGGCAGAAATGCATGAAGGTGCAGAGCTGGTGATTACAAAAGTGGTTGCTGTTGCCGTATTGACAAGTACAAAAATGTGACTGCAAAAGTACATGCTAGTGCAGTGTTGGTGAGTGCAAAATTATGCATTGGAACCATGTCAGCGAGTGCAAAAAAGGTGCATCACTGACAAGTGCAAAGTAGACATTGATGCAGTGTTAGAAAGTGCACAAGGAGTGTTAGTTAGTGCAAAAGTGAGAGCTGGCATGATGTCGGCGAACCCAAGTTGAAGTATTACTTCACAATGTGAAGTATTGTTCCACATTGTGTATAGATTACCTTCCACCAGTGCCGACACTGCACTGACACATATTTGCATTTGCCAACACCATACCAGCACTCATTTTTGCACTAACTGACACTCCTTCTACACTTACTGCACTGTGTTTACCGCCCCCTGATAAAGAAAAAGAAAGTAAGCATTTACTGCCTCAAGTGGATAAAACATGGTTGGGGAAATACCACTATACCTGCAAACACCACAAACTCTGCATAAGAAGGAACTAAACATTTCTAGGGAGGCTCCCTATGACAATGACTAACAAAAAAAACCCTTCTTGGTTCATTCAGCTGTGAAAAGAAGACCAGCATTTATCTATAACCGGAGAAATGCATGTAAGCAGTGGAAAAGTGACGATATTACAGTACAATTAGCACCTAAGCCAAACCAACTGGAATGATATAGCCTATTCTACCAGGAACATCACCGTCCAAGACTAAGGGGTGTAGTGTACAAAAGTACTGTGTGCTGAAGACCCAATTCTAAGGGCATAATCTCCCTACTATACAATACACTTTTCTATAGGCCCAACACCAGCTAATAAATACATGTTAAAAGTAGACCACTGAAACTGGTATCTTGAACTCGTGGAACCTGTGGTCCCAGATATGGGACACCACTAAATCATCCTCCCAGAACATAAATGGCCTTGAAACCAATTACAATGGCTCGTACTAGGTCTCCACTAGATTGGTGCATCCAACCAGTATCGATCCCTCAATTGCTTTCGAGGTTGGCCAGAAGCAGGCAGTTTTTTTTAAATAAGTGGTGGTCATGCCCAATTGCAGAGGACCTTTGTAGAAATGCCTATGCAATGCTTTGTATTTTGTTTCAGGTCTCCATAGTTATGAACCCCAGTGAGGTTCTCCTCCCCCTAATGCACCTAGCCAGTGCACCACAACGCACATGCTATTGTCTTGTGTATCTGCATGTGTATTAAAACCAGTACAATAAAAACGAATGGGCTGCCTTAACACAATGTATATCAATGTGTAAATAAACACGTCTTTTGGTATTGCGAAGCAACATTCTGAATCTTTCCAACCTGTTTCTCCAGGCAAACCCGACAACCACAAAAATCAGTCGTATATGCATGACCTACTGCATTCCCCATGGAGAAAAATCGAAGTAATTATGTAAACTGTGGCATTCTCCATATCGGTGTTACATGATCTTCTCCTACAGGAGAGGCTGATTATATACTAGCTGTATGCAAAGCACTATCTAGTGGCTGAACATAAGAAAGACAACATATTCATGTTAATAGGGTGGCAAAGCATGTAGGATTTTGTATCTATCTTTATAAGATTCAGACCTTTCAGCAATAAGATAAAGAGGAGGAGGTAAGCCACACAAGAGTTCTGACTTTTGCTATGTCACACTGACTAGAGCCATGTGCACCGAAAAACAAAAAAGAAAACAGCAAGGGGATGATATATAAATCATCCACCCTGCCATACAGCGGGCGAATGCTGTTCACATGGCAGTCCTGTCCTGCCACTAGATTGACAGACTGAATTTCCTATGCGTCTTGGCTCCATCTTGTCGCAGGAATGCTGTGTGAACGGCATTTGCCCAGTGTAAAAAGATAGAACATAGAAGATTGACACATAGAAAAAGGTATTATTTTCGGAAATTGCAGTGGGATTTTTTTTTTCATAAAGTTAGATATAAATACTGCTTCCTGGAGTTCATCCAGCAAGCTACAACACTACCTAGAAAACATCATGATCTGTC